AAATTTTTGTGCACCGGGCCTCTAGTTCTTGTAGAAAAGGACCAGGCAATAATAGGTACAGATGAAAACAGTTGTCTTAAAAGATGAAATTACAGGTGTTAACTTTTAAAATAATAATTTGTTCCCATTGATTTTTAGAGAGAGTGGAAGGGAGGGAGGGGGTTGAAAGAGAGAGTGGGAGAGAGAGGAAAAGAGAGAGAGAAGCATCAATGTGAAATTTGTTGCCTCCCTTCTCACATGCACCCGACTGGCCCAGGGATTGATCCTGCATCCCAGCTATGTGGCCTTAACCAGGAATCAAATCCATCACCCTTTGGTGTGCTCGGTGACACTCTAACCACTGAGAAACACTGGCCAGGGCTAAATAATAATTTTTAAGAGGTGCTTTGCAGAAGCAGGAAAGATAGGGCCTGTTTGGGGACTAGCACATTGTCTGAACTGGCCTGGATAAAGCATGGGAAGTGATAGAGAAAAAAACTGGAAAGAACCATTACAGTGAGTTTATAGAGGGCTTTAAAAGGTGTGTTGGAGATTTTAAAATTATTTGGTAGGCAGCGAGTACAAATGGAAGATTTTCAAGCAAGGAAGTGATGAGGACAGAACACAGACTGTAGGTACTATCGGTGGAAATAGGAAAAGAACTGAGAGAATCTACTACAATAGTTCCCATGAGCGACAATGATGACCTGAACTGGTTTGATGGCAGTAGAAATAGAAAAGAAACAGCAGATAAGAGAGACATTGCAAAATCCAATAAGAATAATATGTCAACTGACTGAACATTGGAGGATGGGGGAGAGGAGAATTTGAAGGTGAGCCTGAAATAGTATTCCTGGGAGCCTGGGGTCAGAGGGAAGGCTTCTGGGCAGGAAATGAGGAGTTCCCCTTTGGATGTGCTGAGTAGAAAGTACTTGTGAGATGTCCAATAGGTGCCCTAACGGGTTTGGCTCAGCGGATAGAGCGTCAGCCTGCGGACTCAAGGGTCCCAGGTTCGATTCTGGTCAAGGGTGTGTACCTTGGTTGCGGGCACATCCCCAGCAGGGAGTATGCAGGAGGCAGCTGATCGGTGTTTCTCTCTCATCGATGTTTCTTCTCTGTGGAAAATCAATAAAATATATTAAAAAGAAGATATCCAATAGGCAACGTGAGTCTGCATTTAGAAGAGTAATCAGAGATAAAGATGTAGTTAGAGAATAGTTCTCTTATAGGGAATAGTTAAACCATGACAGTAAGTAAAATAATTAAAGATGTAAAGAAAAACAAAATTTATACCACATGATCTCACTCATTCAGGGATAATAAAGACCATTATAAACTTATGAACAATAATAGATACAGAGGCAGAGCTGCCTCAGACAGATTGTCAAACTGCAGCAGGAAGGCGAGGGAGGGTTGGGGGGCAGGAGGGAGGGGCATAAGAGATCAACCGAAGGACTTGTATGCGTACATATAAGCATAACCAATGGACATAAGACACTGGGGGGTAGGGGAGGCCAGGGG